TTTAAGCATGGTCTGATGGTTTGTGAAACCACTTTGACTTCTTGCCCTCAATTCGCTCGTGCTACCTGAGCTCCCCGACCTGTTGACAGAGGAGCTTTCCTTTGTCTTTGCAAATTGACACAGCTGCACACTTCGCAAATAGACTCAGATGTTGAGCTCTGGCCTGAATGGATCCTCCAGATTAGCGCGGGGGAGAATTAGCTTTAAAAACGCTAAGCTGGAGCCAGCAGCAGCAGAATGGAGTGAAGCTCTTTATCGGGATTCACTGCCATAGAAAGGGACTCCTCGCTCTTGCAGCGATATTTACTTCCCTTTGGGGAGGACATTCCTGGAGCCGATAGCTCATCACGACCCTGTACCGCTGCCCGGAGTTAATTAGCCTACTGTATAATGGGAGATTCACCCAGAGATTACACGTGGTGATCTCTCACCACACACGCTGTTTGCTGAGTGGTTTGGGGCTCTTGGCAAGCACAAAAGCACGAATGCAAGCAGCAGAAAATCTGGCACGGGGAGAGGGATTGCTGCCACGGCGCTCGGCAGAGCTGCAGGCAGGGGCCAAGGCTGAGCCCTGCCGGGTCTCCCGTTCTCCCAGGGTCCTGCTCCCTCATCCTCACAGCATGCATGGGCATGGGGCGCGTAAACCCTCACACAGCGCGTAAGCCCTCGCACAGCTCTTTTTGCAAAGGGCTTGGAAAGTTGGCTAGAGAGATGAATTTGCCAAAACCAGAGCAACAGGGTAGAAAAGAAAGGTGATGGATGCCCCTGCTTTGCAGTAAAGCCAGGGTGTGAGCAGGGAGAAAGCAGCGGTCCTGGGCCGGGCAGGGGAAGCCATCTGCCTGCCCTGCCTTGTCCGGAGAAAGGGGACAAGGTCGGCATTGGGGGCAATTAACACTGAACAACTTGTTAATGATTTTATAGCAGGTTAAAGAAAATGCTTCAAATAAAACTACGGGAGACCATCTATAACTCTACATGGCTGTAAATATGTATTAACTTAATTACTATCAGCAATTACAGCTCAGTTTGGAAACAATTAAAGTGGGCGCACACAAAAAGGGATTATTATCCTTAGAAAATGTGTGCGAAGATAAAAGGGATTTATTTCACATTAGTTAACGAGCAGAGGCGCAAGAACGGCGTCCCCCTCTGCTTTACAGGGCTTGTAAAGGGGACAGCAAGCAGCCAGGCTCTGTGTCCCAGCGCAAGCGAGAGCCATGTGCGTGTGCCCGGCAAGCCGAAGGGGTGGCACTTTCAGGAGGGTGGAAAGGAAGAGCCTGGCACCAAGCAAACCTCCTGCCACTCTGAGGGGACGTGTGCCCACTGGAGTCACACTCTGGTGATCATTTGCTTCGTCTTCCCACCCATTCTGCTCCTGAATGTTATTTCCCTCATGTTCTCCCCAGCCCTATGTGATTGTATAGCTTACAGCTGCGGGAGCTGGTTGCGCTTGTTCAGGGGGGAAGATCTGTATTTCCCAGGCATCACATTTTGCCCAGAAATACCTAAGCTGACCCCAGGAAGTGCTAGAAAAGCATCTCTCCTTGGACTGTGCATCTGTCTCTCCTCTTCCTGGCTTGTTACGGTGATTTCTAACCCTATCACTTAAAAATAAATGTCTGATGTTCCTGTTAAATGTGCCCTGATTCCCTTTCCTGGTCTTGAGCCTTGTTATAACTTTCTCTACTAAATTCAATATTCATTCTGCTGCTTCTTCCTATCGTGACTTTTAGATGTATGACCAAATGCTCATTTTCCAGGGTTGTGCAAAATCGTCTGAGCTCTGCAAGCCTCGCTCCAGAACGCTCGTTTCTGCCTTCAAATAATTTTTGTGACTCTCCTGGTACTCACCAACATTTCAGCACACCGTTTGCAGTGTGAGCACCTGAAGGTAATAACTACCTCCCTGTGACACCTCTGTCCCAGGACCTCCTTGGTGTTTAGCCACAGCAGCATCACTCTGCTGGAGCCGAACCCTTCCAAGGACCAGAAAGTCCTTGGTCCTTACCCCGAGCCCTCCATCACCTACTGACCCCCTCTCCCTGCCTCAGCTCTCCATCTCTAGCACAATTAACAGTGTCTTAAATATTCATTCCCCACTCTCGTTGGCGTGATTGAAAGCTGAATTCACAATTAAATATTAACTCGTGTTTAAAGGCTGCTCGTTAGTCAAAAGCATTTGAATCTTTTGCAGCCTGCATCTGTTCCTGGCGAGCCAATTCCCTGACTAGACCAAGTAGGGGTTGCTGGTGGTGCCACAGAGGCACAGAGCATTTCCCAAGCGCATCCCCCGGCGTCTGCCTGGCTGCCCATGGCACATGTGAACTCCTGCTCCACAAGCCAGACCTGGGTTTCAGGGTCCCCCAGGACAGCATTGCTGGGGTCTCCAGGGTACCCTGGGCTGAGGGTGAAACCGCTCCTGCTCTTTGAAGATGCAAAGTGCCCTTATTGACAATCCCCGGCCTTTGCAACTGGGGAACAGAGCTGGAAACCTGGTGAGATAAAACTGCTTTGTGCTCGCCAGTGCTTTTGTCATGCACCCAGGCTGCCAATACAATTGCAATATCCCTTACCAAGTGCTTAGCCCAACCTGCCTGCTCAGGGCCAGAAGGCAGAAATGCTGCCTGGAAAAGGTGGGGGACAAGGCTAACAGATCAGTGGCCCTGAAAATGGAAAACCTAAAAAAAGGCAGGCTTCAAGAATGGGGAAAGGACAAGGGGCGTCTGGACCCCCATAGTCTATCCTGACTTAATAAACTTGGGCACAGGCAACTTTTTCAGGCTGGCTACCTAAGTATAGTTGTGGCTGTTCCTGGCTGCCACCCCAGGACCTGCCTTTTCCGAGGTGCCCAGCGGCCACCCGCAGTGCTGTGAGCATCAGCGCCCAGCAGAGCACCCCCAGACAGAGGCCATTTCCACCCTGATGGAGTGAACTTACCAGCGCCCGTGAATCACGGACAGGAACACAGCGAACTCGGGTTCTCCAGTGCGAGCAGAGATGTTGTTTTACTGTCTTACAAACACACTTGTCGCTATAGAACATGAATTTTGCACATACCATCTGCTTTTCTTTCCCAATCTACTTCTTCCACCCGAGCTGAGTTCATGTGTTCAGCACTGCTTTACCGATAATTATCCCTGCAAATGGCAACCTGTCCTGAAGGCTCCTGCCACTGCCTCTGGTAAGAAACATCTGAGGAGGAGCCCGGTCTGGGCTCTGGAATGACATTTGGAGCAGTAGCAACATGTGAACCCAAAGGTATTTCCTTCTGAGCAGAAAAAAATAAGGACCCTTCCACTTGTTTTCTCTCCCCCACGCCCCCCTCCTGGAGGAGATATTCGCCAAGACTCACAGATGGGATCGTTTACAGTTTCCTTTTGAGCTGCCTTGGCCCTTTCAGGTTTTGTTTATTCGAGCTGGGCTCTCAAACAGGGGAGGGTGGGACGGGGAAGGCCTCCCTTCCATGTTCCGATTTGGACTGGGGTTGCTCAAGTTCCCCATCTGACAGAAGATGATTGATGAGAGCAATGGCTTGGAGACGGGGTGGCTCTGCTCTTTGCGGGGCCTTAAATCCCGGTTGTCGGAGCAATGTGGGGAATGGCATCCCGGGGTAATTACAAACCGACAACAGGAAAAGCCATTGGAAACGGCAGGCACTCTGGCATTGCTTGCGGTGGGATGGCTGGAGGGGTGGTTGTGTCTTTCTGGGTTTTTTGGTTTGCTTTGCTTGTGAAAACATGCACACGTGGTCCTGAGCTGAGATCAAAATGTGCTTACAAAAAGCAGAGTCTAGAGAGGATGGGGAGATCCACAGCAGAAAATTGCCTGGAAAGCTGCTGGAAGAGCCGGAGAGTGCCCCAGAGAGCAGGAAGTCATTGCTACATGCAAAATCACCGGCAATTATCCTGGCGGCAATGAGATAAATACACACTTGTTAAGAGCATGAAACCAGCTGGTGACAGCGCTGGTCCACCCCGATGGCCCTCCCTGGCCAGAGCTTTCCATAGCCTCCGCTCCCACGAGCAGCTCTCATTGCACGAGGGTCAGCCTCAGTTTCCCCAAACCAAGACTTGGAGGGAAAGGCCTCCAGGAGAGGAGGAGATTCCCATTCAACTCAGGGGCCCAGGTGGCAAGGATGGGAGGCACGGGGGACTGCCATCGCACGTGAGTCAGGACAGTGGCCCTGCCCTAGGTGACCAACTTGATCGGCGAAGGTCTTCAGGGGATGTTTACAGGGAAGCTAAACTTTAATCTGGTCTGGCACATGTGCTAGGAGTGGCTTTCAGCAAAAAAGATTCAGCAGCCTCTTTTGTCTCGCCTGATTTGAGCAGGTCAGGGTTCCTGAGAGGCTGGGGTGTTGAGGGGTGTGGGACTGACCAGGGCTGTGCGAGACGAGGGTGCCTGTGCCCACGGTAGTAACTACTACATCAGGTACTTGGTCACCAGTTTCTCCTTTCCAAACTGGAATGAATTGGTGCCTCTTTTCACTGCTGCTGCTGAACTGACCTGTCCTAGTGTTATCTGTGATGAACTACAGGGGGTGTGACCTGGGGTGGGTCTCCAAGAGCTTTATTCAGAGCTGTAAGCACCCTGAAGCCTCCAGACTGGAAATTTAACAAAACCAGGAATGCTGAGCTAGAAGAAAGCAGCCAGGGGTGAAGCAAGGCCCTAAACTCGATGTACTCGAGTAGCTGCTCCAGTTGGACTGGATGACTCCGTGGGACTGGGGTGGGAGGGAGGGGATTTCCCCTCCCTCTGCCTGTGCTGCTGGTTTAAATCCAACCACAGCTGAGCAGTAAATAAGATTTACCACCCGGCAGCTGCCGAGTGACCTGTGTGCAGTGAGTCAGTGAGCTCTGGCTGCACAGCTCTGCAGACATCAGCAGCAGAGGAAGCATGGGCTGAAAAGCATATTTTCTTTGGGAATGTGGTCTCATTTGGGTGAGCCCTGCAGTGCTCCCTGCACACCAGCGCTTGCAGACGCACCCCGGGATGCAGTGATGCTGCACACCAATGCTGCAGACACACCCCAGGATGCGGTGATGCTGCACATCAATGCTGCAGACGCACCCCGGGATGCGGTGATGCTGCACGTCAGCGCTGCAGACGCACCCCGGGATGCAGTGATGCTGCACACCAATGCTGCAGACACACCCCAGGATGCGGTGATGCTGCACATCAATGCTGCAGACGCACCCCGGGATGCGGTGATGCTGCACGTCAGCGCTGCAGACGCACCCCGGGATGCAGTGATGCTGCACACCAATGCTGCAGACACACCCCAGGATGCGGTGATGCTGCACATCAATGCTGCAGACGCACCCCGGGATGCGGTGATGCTGCACGTCAGCGCTGCAGACGCACCCCGGGATGCAGTGATGCTGCACACCAATGCTGCAGACACACCCCAGGATGTAGTGATGCTGCACACCAATGCTGCAGACGCACCCCGGGATGCAGTGATGCTGTACGCCAGCACAATATCATGTCTCTGTGTGTTGCAGCTTGGCAGCCAGGATGCATGGGCAGAGCCACACCAGTGGGACTGTGTAACTGGAATAGCTGTGATTAAAGCAGAGCCAGTGGCTTGTAACGCTGCTGAGCAATCTGTAATCAGCCAAAGAGAGTCATGGTGCTGCGGCTGGTCAGGCTGAGCCTGTAGCAGCTTGGGCATATTCATAACTGCCTTGGTGACAAGGGGGTTACTCAGGTGGAGCAGGGTAAATGTTTGAATATAGGGACAGTTCCCCAGTGTCTCATGGACCTAACAAAAAGAGGGTAATTTGAGGAGACATTTGAAGAGCAAAGCAGATCTTTTATAAGGAACTTCCTCTCCTGGGCAGATGAGACAAAAGGGGATAAAGCCAAGCAAAACCACATGGCTGCTTATTTACCACTTATATTCAGAAGAGCTGAGCCATACACACCTCCCACTGTGCAGGGGCTGCACAAACACACGAGGAGACCCAGGTCCTGCCCCAGAGTTTCCAGTCTAAGGTGAGGAATTAAAAAAAAAAACAACCAAACCCAAACCTGGAGGAGTAGCAGCTCTGACCGTGCTCTTTGCGGGGCCTTAAATCCCGGTTGTCGGAGCAATGTGGGGAATGGCATCCCGGGGTAATTACAAACCGACAACAGGAAAAGCCATTGGAAACGGCAGGCACTCTGGCATTGCTTGCGGTGGGATGGCTGGAGGGGTGGTTGTGTCTTTCTGGGTTTTTTGGTTTGCTTTGCTTGTGAAAACATGCACACGTGGTCCTGAGCTGAGATCAAAATGTGCTTACAAAAAGCAGAGTCTAGAGAGGATGGGGAGATCCACAGCAGAAAATTGCCTGGAAAGCTGCTGGAAGAGCCGGAGAGTGCCCCAGAGAGCAGGAAGTCATTGCTACATGCAAAATCACCGGCAATTATCCTGGCGGCAATGAGATAAATACACACTTGTTAAGAGCATGAAACCAGCTGGTGACAGCGCTGGTCCACCCCGATGGCCCTCCCTGGCCAGAGCTTTCCATAGCCTCCGCTCCCACGAGCAGCTCTCATTGCACGAGGGTCAGCCTCAGTTTCCCCAAACCAAGACTTGGAGGGAAAGGCCTCCAGGAGAGGAGGAGATTCCCATTCAACTCAGGGGCCCAGGTGGCAAGGATGGGAGGCACGGGGGACTGCCATCGCACGTGAGTCAGGACAGTGGCCCTGCCCTAGGTGACCAACTTGATCGGCGAAGGTCTTCAGGGGATGTTTACAGGGAAGCTAAACTTTAATCTGGTCTGGCACATGTGCTAGGAGTGGCTTTCAGCAAAAAAGATTCAGCAGCCTCTTTTGTCTCGCCTGATTTGAGCAGGTCAGGGTTCCTGAGAGGCTGGGGTGTTGAGGGGTGTGGGACTGACCAGGGCTGTGCGAGACGAGGGTGCCTGTGCCCACGGTAGTAACTACTACATCAGGTACTTGGTCACCAGTTTCTCCTTTCCAAACTGGAATGAATTGGTGCCTCTTTTCACTGCTGCTGCTGAACTGACCTGTCCTAGTGTTATCTGTGATGAACTACAGGGGGTGTGACCTGGGGTGGGTCTCCAAGAGCTTTATTCAGAGCTGTAAGCACCCTGAAGCCTCCAGACTGGAAATTTAACAAAACCAGGAATGCTGAGCTAGAAGAAAGCAGCCAGGGGTGAAGCAAGGCCCTAAACTCGATGTACTCGAGTAGCTGCTCCAGTTGGACTGGATGACTCCGTGGGACTGGGGTGGGAGGGAGGGGATTTCCCCTCCCTCTGCCTGTGCTGCTGGTTTAAATCCAACCACAGCTGAGCAGTAAATAAGAGTTACCACCCGGCAGCTGCCGAGTGACCTGTGTGCAGTGAGTCAGTGAGCTCTGGCTGCACAGCTCTGCAGACATCAGCAGCAGAGGAAGCATGGGCTGAAAAGCATATTTTCTTTGGGAATGTGGTCTCATTTGGGTGAGCCCTGCAGTGCTCCCTGCACACCAGCGCTTGCAGACGCACCCCGGGATGCGGTGATGCTGCACACCAATGCTGCAGACACACCCCAGGATGTAGTGATGCTGCACACCAATGCTGCAGACGCACCCCAGGATGC